AATATATATATATATATATATATATATATTTGTTTTTGTTTGTTTGTTTGTTTGTTTGTTTGTTTGTTTGAGGAGAAGGTCTGCTCATCTTGAAGAAAACAAAATCTTTTTAACATTTTTTTTTGAAAATGTTTGTCACCAATGGGAAAAAAATATTGTTTTTGTGTAAGTTTCTTTCCTCTGCTTCGGTCTTGAGGGTTCACCACTGCAACTGAACTCACATGAAAGATATGGTAAATGTTTTACTCCAGATGTCGTTCCTGATGCAACCTGGGCTCGAACCAGCAGCCCCAGTCTTACAAGGCTGCAGCCCTTAACCACTGACCTCCCACATATCACAAAACTGTGTATTGGATGCCAGAAATTCCTCATCAAACATTATGGTTGTATGTTTACATCAACAAGTGTTGCGTTAGTGATGCTTTCCATTTACCTTGGAACTTAAAACTGATCTGGGATTGAGCTGAAGGTCAGAAAATCTGTAAAATTAGCTAAATGTTGAGCTTAATCACCAGGCTAACTACCATTAGCAATAAAAGAAAGCAACACTGTATTTCACACACTGCAGCAGCATGTTCACTAACAGTTTGCACTACTTTGTGCATGACTGAATCACTAAATTACACAAAGTGAAAATGAAATGTTTATTATTGCAGCAGTCAGGACTTTTTATGCACAAGGCAGCCATATTGGATTATGAGGTGTTTCTGAAAAAATAATTCAGACTTTGGGGAAACATTTCAGTTGATTTAGAGACAGGAGTACAACCAGAATGCACCATAAAACGAGACTCACCATCATCGATGATGCTGACCACCACACCACGACCAGTAATGTTGTTCCTCCAAACTGGCATCACATTCAGGTCCAACCCACTGGGGTTACGCTCGCCCTGTGAAAACTAAACACATGTTGCTATGTTAACAATCTGAAAAGAATTACTGAACTGAGTTTGTCTAAATTAGTCATCTGCTGTTTAACTTTATTGCCCAGTCATGCAGAAAACCTGGTCTCAGCTTTGAGTTAAGGTGCTGTTACGCTGAAGCTGATCAAATGAAATAAAAATATATCAACAATAAACTACTTTCTACTTATAAGAAATTATTTTGTCTAGTTTAAGTCAACATTAAGCACCAAAACACGGACAAATTGATGGATGGATGGTAGTTTCAGGTCATGACTGTTGCTTTATTTCAGTCTATAGTCCATGTGTGAACAACTTTAAGTTATTATAAGTAAAACTTAAAGTCTATTTATTGTCCTGTTCCGGTGCATAACTCTTCAACAACAGTGAAGAACGCAGGTCACTTTATCAAAAGAGCCCAATGATCCGTGGTGACGGCTCTGATGTTTTAACTGATATGTGGTTAAAACTGTGACATACAGCATGGATGTATTTACTATCAAATATATTTATATTAGAAAACATGTCTAAGGCTTCTGTTTATTTAAGCACATGGACAACTCTCGTATATTTTGTAGTTGCTCAAGAAACTAGAAAAATAGTTACAGTGTCTGTAAAAAGTATTCACACCGTTGGATATTTTATGCTTTTATTTCTGCCATAAATCAATCATGATCAATATGACTCTGCTATCTTTACAAAAACACTGTCTTCAGGGTCAAATATCATTAAAAATGATTCATGTGAACACCATACCATACAAATATGTAATGACAAATAAGCGATTGCATAAATATTCACCCTCTTTAAAGTGACTGTCCTAATTCAACTCAGAGAAAGGATTATTTAAAAGTGCAAGTCAGGAGAAGAATACAAGAGGATTTCCATAACACTGAACATCCCCAGAAGTTCCAACAATTTTCAGTCAGGTCATCTGGACAGTTTCTTTTTTTTTTTTCTTTTTTTTTTGTGCTGAAACGTTTCACCTTCCATCCAGAAAGCTTCATCAGTCAAGGAAACACACAGCACAAAACTGATTTTCCCCCCAACAGTTTACTCTAAAGTGGAACAAACCAGTTACGTTGGTGCTAAGATGGTGTCTTTGGCACGCCCCCTCCTCTGGTGCCGGCCCTCTCCGTCGTCGACAGTCATGTCAAACTGGTTCAAAACCAGTTTGACATGTTCTGTTTAATCCATCCTCAAAAAATAAATAAAAAAAATGGAAGGAATATGGAACATGTGTAAATCTACTAAGAGTAGGTCGTCCTCACAAACTGAGCGACCAGGCAAGAAGGGACAAAGTGAGGAAAACCATCAAGACCCCTGTAATCACACTGAAAACGTACATATTTTAATTTAATTGGTAGTACTTTATAGACACGTAATTTCACTTTGTGCGTGTAAAAAGAAGTCAAATTTATATTGACTATAATTGATTTATGATAGCAATGAAAGCATAAAACATCCAAGGTGGTGAAACTTTTTATGGGCACAGTACATCCACGCATATGTCGGCTTGTCATACTGCAGCCCAGTATCAAAAAATATCACAAGTGCTCCCATAAACAGTAGTGGTCCCACAAATTAAATGCACTCACTTGATCTCTTAGTACAACTTTAATGTGGTTTCTTAACGCAGAATATTTAAAAGCAAAAAACATGCTTGGAGGTAGAGCTAAAAGGCTGAGCACAGTCTAAGCAGAAATGTCAATGAGATCCCCAAACTCCTCTTCTCACACACACTTGGATATTCAAAGTGAGTGTGTTGAGAGGCTACTACTCCTGTTATAATTAAGAGAGAAAGAAAAGGGTGAAAAAGACAATAAAAATGTCTCAGTTTGGGTGGCTGTGCGTGTGTGTGTACATGTGTGTGTGTTTGGTGTGCAGCATCTGGGGAGCCACAAAGCTTTGTAGTGTGTGTATAAAGCAGATGAATAGAGGCATCTAGAAGACCAACGTAAACAGGAACACTGGGACTGGCCCTGGGGAAGACACATTTACACTCGCACATGTGCACACATGCATACACACGGCATACAGTTTGAAAGCGCAGATATCAGCTCACAGAGAAGCATCTTGAATGCAGATCCACTTCATACAATTAAGCTCTGAACCAATGCACATTTCAGCATTTACACTTTCGTGCACAAACACGGTGAGCAACATTACCAAAACAGAAGCGCAACGAGCACAGCCAGACTTTATCAATGCAAGACGTGTAAACACAATGTTAAAGAAAGCACTTGCCACTGGGGTTTTAGCTCAGCTGCACTTTGGCAACAAAACAAAAACAAACATTTTCTGTTAGAATGAAATATAGCATGTGCTGCTATCAGTGGTGTAGTCTACATTTTTGTAGTGGGTACACCGCGGTCAAGTTAGTTTCACATTGGACACCGCTGAAGCCACGGAGCACGCATGTTCAACGTAAAACTAACTTTACTACAATCAGTCTGTATACTGTGCTTAGAAACCAAAGTACACCGGTTAGTACAATGTAATCATCAATTTATTTTGATGTTTACGCATATTGAACATTTCCAAAGTTCTTTGATGCTTATATGTGAATAAATGAACAACAAACTTTGTATAACAGTTGTCTTTGTATTAAAAACATGTTATAGAATTTATAAAACAGTATCAAAGCAAAACATGTTCAAGTATTAAGTAGTAAGTATACAGAAGTATTACCGTATTTCCCACCGTACCTGTCGCACCGCCCTATAAGTCGCATCAGTCCAAATATGTCTAAAAAAGTGTCGAAAGCTATAAATACATGTATGTCGCTTCGCCGTATATGTTGCATCTATTATGCGTCACCGCTGACAACGTGGAAACGTGGTCCGGTGCTGTGCCAAAAATCGATGGGCTGTCAAATGGCGGCCGCGGGAGCGTGCACAGGAGGACTTTAACAAGCATTTAACAAGATTAACACTTAAAAATAATTATTTGTTTACGTGAAGTTATAGTGCCTCAGTTTATATTTTGCTTAATAAATGCACTTTAACGGTCAAATCATCTGTATTTCAAAACCCAATTCGTGGAAGCAGTGGGCTTGCGCAGAGAGACGAGCCTCTGCATTTCTTCAAAATTTAACAAGAAAAGCGCCTAAAACAATTATTTGTTTGCTTGAAATTATAGCAAAGGTGTGTCTCTGTTGAACTTTTATTTATTAAATTCACTTTAATGGTCAAATTAACTGCATTTTGTCAGAGCGGTGCAGCTGGTTTGACTTGCTCCAAGCAGCGAGCAGATAGAAGGTAGAGGGAGTATAATAATAATAATAATAATAATAATGTCATCACAATGTCAGCAATGGAGAAATTAGTCTCTGCATTTAACCCATCCACCACCAGGTGGTGCAGTGGGCAGCTATTGAAAGCACCCGGGGGACATTTTGGGGATTAGACGTGCTGCCCAGGGACGCCACGTGATGTGCAGTGACTGGGGATCGAACCTGGGACTTTCGGGTCCCAAACCGGCTGCCCTGCCTCTACACCATCTCGGCCCCGTATAATATGGCAAGCCGATTGTATCATTAATAGCTGGTGAAGATTCTCAGTCATCCAGGACATGGTAAATTCAAAAAAGGTTCAAGACAAAAACAATAAAGTATAAAGTATAATAAATAAACTCCAGTTGTTTTTATATTGAACTTTTTTGAATTTGTCATTATAGCCACGTTTAACTGTTGCATTATACAATGGCATGCTATACTACTACTACTACTACTACTCTGCTGCCATCTAGTGGCAGAAAATGGTACTGCTCTTTTTTTGTCATAATGAATGAAAACAGTCATATCTCAGCCAAAAATTGGTTTATAAATACGTGACAAATCCATAAATATGTTGCATCGACCTATAAGTCACAGGGCATGTAAATTATGTAAAAGCCGTGACTTATAAGTCAAAAAATACGGTAATCATGCAATAATTCCCTGGATAAGCAAATGTAATAAACAAGTGCTGCATACCAATAGATCGTTATGGAAGCATTTAACTGCCGTTTAACGTATCAATGACACGTGCCTAATGATATGACATGTATCACTGGGCACTTTTAATAATAATAATAATAATGTCATCACAATGTCAGCACTGTATGTTTCCATACAATGGCGAAATTAGTCTCTGCATTTAACCCATCCACCACCAGGTGGTGCAGTGGGCAGCTATTGAAAGCGCCCGGGGGGCATTTTGGGGGTGAGGCGTGCTGCCCAGAGACGCCACGTGATGTGCAGTGTTTAAGTGGGTATACTGAAATTCTTAAGCTTTTCCAGTGGGTATACTCCGTAAACCCGTGTATCACGTAGACTAGACCATTGGTTCAGAAAGTTTATGGACTTAAGAAAGTATGGGGGACCCCTCACAGAGGAGCTGAGCTCTTCTTCATCCAGTGGACTGCTGGTTAAACTCATGTTGTATACTGCTCAGCCAATGCATACACACTAGATTTTACCAAATATACACGCTTGGATAGTGTACACACACACATACATTTGTCTGGGCCTGGCAGGCTACCAACCCTGAGCAGATTACTGACCCTCAATCAATATCTCCGTCCACCAGAGGCTGATTAAACACAACAGAGTGAAAGCAGGAGGGGGAGGCGAGGGGACGAGACAAAGAAAGAGAAAGGTCCTGAGCTCTGATAATGCTTTCCATTCTTCTTGATTACCGAGTGATTGAAAATTACATTCTATTCTCTTGTTTATGCAATCAGCCTATATGACTAAAGTGACATAATCGGTTATGCTTCGTACTTGATGCTGTAGCACATACATCACGCTCCGTTTCGAGAAATAATCTCATCAATAAAACGTCTAAATCGAGAAGTGACTATTCGCAACACATGATGAACCTTGGAGTTTCTTTCACCTCTCCCTCATGTGTCTCCATCATCTCTCCTCATTTGCGCTCTCTTTCTGTACCACCCTCCGCCCCCGTCCTGACTCTCACCCCTCCATCTTGCCCCAAGAGCTGAGGTGTCAGTCAATCAGTTGCCTTGGTGAGTCTGTGGGCCCGCCTTCCCTCCCCCTCACTCTGTCAGATTACGCCCTCATGCGTCAATCAGAAACATCCACGGTGTCGATTGGCTGGGTCCTGCTTACCCCTTGGCTATAAAATAATAAAATAAGAATGAATTATATCAAGATAAATAGTATTCAAATTATAGATTAAATATGATATAATAATAATTAAAAGCATGATATTAGGTGTCCATTTAAATGCTTTTAATTACCGGCAAAAGTCACAGGAGTTCTTTAAAAAGAAATCATAAAATCAATATGGATCCAGCATTTATCACAAAATGGGTCCAGGAAAGCATCAAAAACTCATAAAAATAAACACTAAAATTCTATGTTTGCTATAAACTTGACGGCAGTGCTTCTCATATAATAACAAACTGTAGTCTCTGATTAGATATTGGCCCAAACACAAACCAATATGAACACATATATAAATATAAAAAAATAAACAATTTTCAAGTATTAACAATGTTTTCACGGGACACTTAAAGGGTTTTATTTCCATAAATGTATGTAATAAAGAAAACTATGTGGAGCAAATTAAATGTTTTGAATGAAGTGATAATACAGTAAATTAACTTCCTCGTAGTAAACTATACTGTTGCTCCACTAGTGCTGATCCTCAGAAACACATTTTGACTAAACAGTGCAAACTGGACAGCTGCACACATGTGTGTCGTTTGAGCCCAGATGTGCGTCAGCGTTCCTCCAAGCCTCATCAGTCCCAGACATCTGTCTCAGTTCAACCTGGACAGCTCCTTTCACCTCTTCTACCTTCTTCTCCACCATCCCTTTATCTCTCTATCTTCTGTCTCCCTCTCCAGTCACACATGAAGGCACGCCTGACTTCTGCCTGTCAGATGAACATCCTTGAACATGAGGACAAGAAAAGAGGAGAGACTTCCAGATAAGACCAATGAGGACACACACACACATAATTGCACCCACCAGTTCCCACTGCATAGGCCAGAGTGGGTCATTGAAGGTGAGGGGCTGGTCACTCCTCCTCTCCTCAGGTGGGCCGTCAGCTGTAGACTCTGTCCTCTGGGAACCTGCGAGCACACAGATCTATCATGGATATGTGTGGATGTAGTTTCCCTTTTCCTGCCTTGAACTCTGACTTCAGGACATCCCCTAGTTCCCAACCACTAGTGAAAGGCCTCTTAGATCCCCCTCCTCACCACTGCGAAGGAATACCGGGGGCAGATTACCATCTCATTAGCATCGAATTAGCATCTCATTTCTGCAGCACAGCTTGGCTGACTGCGTGTGGAAATGTTTTCAGCTCATCGAGGCCTGCACCTTTCTCTCCATACACTTCCTGTTCCACTCACCACTGCTCTCTCAGCCAAACACAACTTGCAGCGATGTGGATCATGCATGATGAGTATATTTCACATGGTTCCATAATATAATGTGTGCATTGTTGGTTATTTATGACTCAAATCAAACACTTCCTTCAAACACATAAACAAATACTTCAACAATTCTTTTCATTTTGAGGTCATTTAGACTTGCTCTGCTGTTAGGATTCAGTGTTCATTTGAGTCAAATCACTTTGTTCTCACGAGTCATCTAAGAGTCGTGTCTTAGTCTAAGCTGTAAATTATTGTAAAATAAGGCTCTGAATGTGTAAGTTATTCAGGGACAGACAAAAGAAAGTGTTTTCAGTGGAATATAAAATGACAGAACAGAGCTGGATAGATTTCCAATAAAACAAATAAACAAACAACAACAACAACAAAGCACCACAAATCTATAGAAACACATCATAAAACACTTTATCTAACAGTAGTCTCTTAAACCTGAGAGCTGGAAAAATAACAATAAAAAGGAAAAACATTCAACTAAAATGGGCTAAAGGGTAATTAACCTCCATACTAAATAACTTAACAAAAAAGACATTTTGGTGAGTTACTAAATATCAACCAGGAAGAACAACTGTGTGAAAACTCTAGGAAATATTCGAAAAATATTTTTGATTCTATACTTGAGAGATAAACTTTGGAAATGTTGCCCTGAATTCTAATTCAATCACACAAAGTTCAAATGAGATTTATTGCAGTGTGGTCCCATAATATTTCATTCACATGTTAGAAATCATAAAATACTAAAGTGTTTAAAGTCTTCTATGTACTTTTGGGGTATGTCTGAAGAATTGAACAGATTCAGCACAACAGAGGAGAAACACAAATATAATATTAAGTTGTTTTTATTCTTTTGTTTTGTTTAAATAGACAATAACTCTCCTAAAAGCAGAGACAGACAAACAACTGATTTTGGGAGTGGGGGGCTCTAAGTTAGCAGCTCATGTACAGCAAGGCAGCAGCTGTCACCTGGAACTGACAGTACCTCTAAAATAAATTTTAAAAAATTAAAAAGTACCAATGTACTGTTTGAGATGTAATGTCTTGCGCTTCATTTGCCAAACAGAACAACTGATTAAGTTCAGAAAGATATCCATCTCTTGTGTAAAAAATATTACAATAAAAAAAGAATAAAAAATAAAATAAAACAAGGAGTGCTTACTTCATTTAATATGTCACTGGCTTGATACACAACAACAATCTAGACAGAATTAAATAAAATTTCCCGACGTGAAAAGACAAAATAAATTACATTGTAAACAGTCACATCGAGTTTTGCAGCAGATGAGTAGTTGTGTGGGAAAAATCCTTGAAATGTTAAAGCAAATAAATATACAAATGGACTGCCATACTTTATTCATGCAAAAATGAAGTAACTACTTGCCATACACCACTTTGTCACTTTGTCTCTTCTGCTGCCACTGACACATTTCCACACAACTAATTTCAAACAAGCAGGCCGGTCTTTAAGCATCTGTGTTTTATTCTGAACCAGACATCCACAGTTTGTTTAAACCTTCTGCTTCTTTTCTGTTGCTGCTGCTGTGACAATGCAGTTAAATCTAGGTAGCGGCTAACGCATTTAACACTTTTCATGTATTAATCTATTTTATCTGCTTATCATCATCATGTACAACATGATGGTGTCACTCGTTCAAAAATGTACGGTTCTATTGAAGTCTCTATGAAGTAAACGGACCATCAAGATCCAGTTCTCTAGTTTCCAGCTCCTTTTAATAAACTATTTGAACTAAACATCCTTTTGCTTTTGAAATGTGTTTTCAAATTGCTGGTGCTGAACGTGCTGGTTTTTGCCACTCCTCTTGACAACTTTGCTGAGCAGAGTTTGCTCTGAATTCTGAAAGCAGAATGGGATTTACTTTTGTCACCACAGTTCATTTATAAATACTGTATCTCCAGACAGCTGCAGTTGCCTTTACTCTGCCATCTGACTTCTAAACTGAGAGGTGAAAGTCAGGCTGATGTAACGTGGCATCACGTGCTGTGGTATCAGAACACGTTTTCAAGTATAAGTGTAAGTACACACACAGCATCAGGATTGATACACAGCAGTTGACAAACCCAGTGACGACCCCGCTGTATTCTCAAGGGATGACCTGAAGGGATGGCTGGAACACAGGCAGGTCATCATAGACTTCATCAGCTGGTGTGAGGCTAACGACACTTAATGACACCCCACCAAGACAAATGTTGGGAATTTCTTGATCATCCCTGAATGACGTGTGAAAAACCTGTTTCCATTACATGGAAAACACCATTTTGTTCTTTTTAAATACTGGTACAGTATTGCATATATTGTGTGAATATATTTATTTTAAAATGTTATTTAAAGTTTCTGACATTTTATTTCTCATTGCTTTTGTTTCTGTTGCAGGCCACCGGTGTAATATGAGAATTTACCCAGTGAGGTATATTGTTTTTATTCTTATTTATCTTACTTAGTAGTGGAAATGCACTGGTGCATCCCAAAAATTAGGTATGTAATAACTAATATTCTTACTCTATGTAATCTGTAAGTGCTGTTAAAATAAAGCAAAGTAAAACAATGCAAGGATCAGATTGAGCATGGGTAATGGTTGATCCAATTTATTTGGGTCACCTCTGGATTTTAGTTATTTGTTTATTTATTTATTTGTTTTCAATTATTTTGTACCTTACTTTCTAATTGATTTATTGTTCAATAAATCAATCATGCGTTTATTTATAGAGCCCTTTACAGCAGCCAAAAGGTGCACAAAGTACTTCACAGTGCTAAAGTTAAAAACACACAATAAAATCAATATTAAAAATGCCAGAGTGTCACTAGTTATTAAAAGCCTGCCTGAATAAAACTGTTTTAAGATTATTTTTTTAAAGGCCCATGTCAGTGATGGAGCACAAGTCCTGAGGTAGTTGGTTCAATAATTCGGGTGTAGCAACCTAAAAGGCCCAATCACCCCATCATTTGTGTTTGGACTTTGGGATAAACAGTAAAGAAGAATTTGCTGATCTCATGAAAAGCTCCTAGATCAGCTAAATGAAAAGGAGCAAGAGTTTTAAAAGGAATCCTAAAAAAAGACCAAAAGATAATGGAGAGAAAATAAACAACAGGAGTGATGTGCTCATGTCTGGGAGTGTTGGTTAAAATGTGCTGCAGAGTTTTGGACAAGTTAAAGGCATCTGATGAGCGATTTGGAGATTCCTACATACAAAGAATTTAACTAGTCAAGTCTTGAGCTGATAAAAGCGTGAATGGCCTTTTCCAGGTCCAGACAAATTAAAAAAGGATTGACCTTGGTCCAAAGATGTAACTGATAAAAGCTGGCCTTCACTACAGAGGCTATTTGTTTATCAAACTTCAAATCCTGTTCAAAAGTCACACCCAAGTTTTTAACTGTGGGTCTAAACTTGGATGTTAAAGCATCAAAGTTACAAAGACCAGGAGCATCATCACCAAAAAAGATAGACTCCATCTTTCCTTCATTTAAAAACAGAACATTTGGGGAAGCCACTCTTTAATGTTGGCAATACAGTCAATAAAATAAGTTTAAAGGTTACTACTTAATAATAATAATAATAATAATAACTTTTATTTATAATGCACTTTACATTCACAGTGAATCTCAAAGTGCTACAAAGAGTGAACATCAGATAGCATCAGGATAAAAGCAACCGAGAGCAAAACAACCAGGAGGATAACGCCTCAGAATGAACACATCAAAAAAACTTAAAATGCACAAAATGCAGATAAAATACTCAAATAAGAACTATGGGTGAATTAAAAAAAAAGTACAGTGCAATCAATTAAAAAACTGGGTTAAAAAAAAGGTTTTAAGACCCTTTTTAAAACATGTCACGGTCTGTGGAGCCCTCAGATATGAAGGCAGGGCGTTCCACAGCCGAGGGGCAGCGCAGGAGAAAGACCGGTCTCCTGTTGTGCAGGATCGAGACCTGGGAGTGAGAAGAAGATGCGTGTTGGAAGAGCGGAGAGTGCGTGAAGGACAATGAGGGGTGAGAAGTTCTTTTAAATAAGATGGTGCATTACCATACAAGCATTGGAAGGTGAGCAGATACATTTTGTAAGTGATCCGGGCAGAAACAGGAAGCCAGTGAAGTGAACGGAGTACAGGGGTGATGTGCTCATGCTTACGCATTCTCATCAGGACCCTGGCAGCGATGTTCCGGACATACTGTAGTTTCTGTATGTTCTTGCCAGGAATCCCAATGAGGAGTGCATTGCAGTAGTCCAGTCTGGAAGAGACAAAGGCGAGCTTTTCTGCATTGGTGAAGGACAGTGTAGACCGAAGCTTTGCAATATTTCGAAGATGAAAAAAAGAAGTTTTACTTCTAGGCTTCATGGTCAAATCTGTAAGCCATCTGCATAACAGAGAAAAAAGGTGGTGTCTGGCTATAACTGATCCAAGTAGCAGCAGAAAAAGAGAAAAAAAGGAGAGGACCGAGAATAGAGCCCTGCAGCACAGCACAAGAAAGCGCAGTAGAGAAAGACAGAGTGCCCATGATGACAGAGAAAGTTCTGCTGGTCAAGTAAGAGGTGAACCACTGGAGAGCTGAACCAGATATACCAACAATATATTTAAGACAAGACAGAAGGATAACATGGTCCACTGTGTCAAAAACAGCTGTAAGGTCCAGCAACACTAAAGCAACAGGACACTTAGAATCCATGGACATGGCAATGTCATTATATCTTGATATCATGACATATCATATCATATATCATAATATGATATATCATCATATTATATCATGATATCTTCTTTTACAATATCTTGTGTCATAAGCTCTCAGAAATTGGTTTCTCATATCACACCATTGGTTGGTTCTCTATCTTTCAGATCGGAGGAAATGTGTTCAACATAATAGTACTTCCTCCAGTCATTTAACAGTCAACAATGGTGTACCACAAGGCTCAGTCTTAAGACCTACCCTCTTTACAATCTACATAGGTAATGTAGGTCAAAGTATCCCTGATGCATCCTTACATTTCTATGCTGATGACACAGTTGTTTATTGTCGAGCTAAAACAGTTGCTAAGACTCTCCAGCTTTTGCAATCCACTTTCGACATCATCCAGTCAGATTTGTTCCATTGCAAACTTGTCCTAAATGCCAACAAAACCAAAGGGATGCCTTTTTCAAACAGAAAGTCAGTCCCAGCAGTTCTTCTGATTTTATCCTCAAATGGTGTCCCTACTGAGTTTGATGATTCCTATAAATATTTGGGTATCTTGGGCGATTCGCATCTCTCTTAATAAGGAAACTGAAAGTTAAATTGGGTTTCCAACATTTTTCAGTCAGGTCATCTGGACAGTTTCTTTTTTTGTGCTGAAACATTTTGTTGTTTCTAGTTTTTTATTTGACACAGTTAATAATGGAAAATCAGCCACTTCACTTAATAATAAAACTTCTACAAATCAAATCCCTCCTACAAGTCAATCCTCAGTTAATCACACCTTCTCTTTTTCTCCGTTCTCAGTCAGTGAGGTCAATAAACTGTTAAAAGATCTTGATCCTAAAAAATCTGCAGGTCCAGATGAACTTCCACCTTATTTCTTAAGGCTGGCTGCTCATGTCATCACAGTCCCTGTGACCCACATCTTCAATCTCTCCATAAGACAAAACTCCATCCCAGACACTTGGAAAACAGCCTTTGTTCTACCTTTGCTGAAGGAAGGTGACCCCACCTCACTGAACAACTATCGACCAATCTCTAAACTCTGCATTTTAGCCAAGGTTCTAGAAAAACTGATAAACTCTCAAATCAAAGATTACCTGGACTCATTTAACATCTTACGTCGCCTTCAATCTGGTTTCAGGAAACAACATAGCACAACCACTGCTTCACTGAAGGTTCTTAATGACGTTGTTGAAGCACTGGATGCTAAGGATTATTGTGCTGCACTTTTCTTAGACCTGTCTAAAGCTTTTGACACTATGGATCATAACATCTTGTGTCATAAGCTCTCAGAAATCGGTTTCTCAGAACACACCATTGGTTGGTTCTCTAACTATCTCTCAGACCGGAGGCAATGTGTTCAACATAATGGTACTTCCTCCAGTTGTTTAACAGTCAACAATGGTGCACCACAAGGCTCAGTCTTAAGATCCACCCTCTTTACAATCTACATACGTAAAAACATCCCTGGTGCATTCACACATTTCTATGCTGATGACACAGTTGTTTATTGTCGAGCTAAAACAGTTGATAAGGCTTTCCAGCTTTTGAAATCTGCATTTAACATCATCCAGACAGATTTGTTCCACCTCAAACTTGTCCTAAATGCCGACAAAACCAAAGGGATGCTTTTTTTCAAATGGGAAGTCGGTCCCAGCAGTTCTTCCTCTGATTTCATCCTCAAATGGTGTCACGATTGAGTTTGTTGATTCCTATAAATATTTGAGTATCTTGGTCGACTCGCATCTCTCTTTTAAGCTCCATGTGAAAAACTTGGTAAAGAAACTGAAAGTTAAACTGGGTTTCTTTTTCAGAAACAGATCCTGTCTAACTCTGAATGCTAGGAAACACCTTGTATCTGTGACCTTCCCTCCCTCCATTGATTACGGTGATATTATTTACATGAATGCTCCTACAAGAACCCTGCAGATGTTGGATGCTGCCTATCATGGTGCACTAAGATTCATAACTGGCTGTGATTATCGTACCCACCACTGCACCCTGTATTCACTGGTTAACTGGACATCATTAACTAAACGCAGACTCTCTCACTGGTACATTTTCATCTTTAAATCACTTCTTGGTCTGCTGCCTTCATACATCTCCTCCTACATGTCTCTGCGTGAGTGCAGCTACAGCGTGCGCTCTCAGGACATTATTACCTGCAGTGTTCCCTCAATGAGGACTGAACTAGGCAAAAGGGCCTTCTCCTACTCCGCTCCTGTTTCCTGGAATATCTTACAAAAAGATTTGAAGCTCTCGACCTTGACCTCTCTAAGTGGCTTTAAGAATCTGTTGGACTCCTGGCAGGGTCCAATGCAGACATGTTCCTGTTTTTAGTTTTCTACATTCGCCTTAGAATCTAGCTGTTTTTTGTTACTTTTCTTTTTTTAGCCATCCTATTTGTTAAAAAAAAAAAATCTGTGTGACTTTTTATAACTGTTTATTGTTGTCGCTGTTGTCCATTGTTGTCATCATTCTTTGTTGAAATCAGGTCTCTCTTGTAATTGAGTCCTCGAGGCTCAATGGGATTTACCTGTCTAAATAAAGGTTGAATGAATCAGTATGGAAACCCCGGGAACGCCACACCTTTTTATTAATTCAGCCTGTTTACTGGACGTCAGTCTCTGCAGTGCTCAAAGTGGCTTCAAACATCTGCTAAGTTTTTGGAAAAAAACAATGCAGGCATGTTCCTGTTTTTAGTTTTCTACATTGCCTTATAACCTAGCTGTTTTTTTTGCTACATTTCCTTTTAATTATATTTTAATTACCATTTTATTTTCACTTGTTAAAAAAAAGTAAAAAATACATTTGTATGCATCCTTTATGATTGTCTATTATTGTCTTTGTTGCCCATTTGTTGTCATCCGTCTTTGTTGAAATCAGGTCTCTCTTGTAAATGAGTCCTCGAGACTCAATGGGACTAACCTGTATAAATAAAGGTTGAATGAATTATGGACTTTTAACAGGGCTGACTCAGTACTGTGACAAGATCTAAATCCAGACTGAAAATTTTCATAAATGCCACGAAGACAAGTTGTAAATGCATAAAAGTGTTGTTGTTGTTTATAACAATAAAATCTCTTTTAAAATAGGAAAATAAACTAGAAAGCTAGCTAACACAAATGAAACTAATACCAAGATAAATCATGAATATATTTAACTTAATAATTTCTAATGCATATGTGTCATTTATTTATTTATTTTAACCAAATGTTACCTTTGTGGTTTGGTCTCATCAGGGGGATCCGCTTCTCTCTATTATGAAAGTGCTGCATTTTCACCCAGTGAACCTAAAAAGTACAACAACAGTTAATTCTTTACTCTAACTTTTTTTTTTGTCTAAAACAGTGATGGTAACTAATGACGACTTTCCCTTTTAGGCCCATGAAAACAGATTTATAATATAAATGCCTATAAAGCACTATAAAGATCCATTTTTGTTCTGTACATTTTTTGGCCCGTAACTCGTTCCGCAGTCTTTATGCTCTTTCGACAATTCATACATTAAAACATTCAGCTCATTCGGGACATTCCTGCTGTGACTTTTGGTATCTGTGCAATTTTTACATTTTTGAAATATTTAGCTTTGTCCGCCATGTTTTTCTTATTGAAAATGAATGGAGTTCTGTGCTGGTCACTGCTCGTTTCAGCTTTGTTCAGCGTGTTTGTGATAACTTTGTCTCCCTTCAGCTCCTTTCTTATCATTTACAGGGGTACGCTTTTTTGTTCTTTTTCAGCTCCTCTCTGCTAAACTCAGCTTTTTCAGCTACTTAGATATTTTTCTGCTAATTATAACCTATTTTCTGCTGCTTTTGTTTTAATTTTGGTATTTTGTGTTTCTTTCAAAAATTTCCTTTTGCTTTTTTTAGCTGCTTTCTGCTCTTTTCAACTTTCTTTTAGCCTTTTCAACTACTTAATTTAGCTGGTTTCTGCGCTTTTTCTAATCTATTCAGCCTCTCTCTGCCCATTTCAACTTATTCTGCTTATTTCTGCAACATTTCTCTATTAATTCCTCTGCCATTTTTCTGCTTTTATTGTCCTGCTTTCAGCACATGTCCAATGTTCAAATTTAACTTTGACAGCTCATTGACGAAGCCTTTTCAGCTGATTTCAGCTTCTTCAGCAACTTTCAGCAATAAGCATTCACTACATTTTCACAGGACATGCCATTTTTCTACTTACAGTTGATGTCAATCTTGTTTCACTTTTCTTGGGCCAACTTTTTCTCAAGGATTGTAAAGTTTTTAGGAAGAAATCAAAAGTAAAACGCTTGAAACAAATACTTTTTGTTTTTCAGTTTTACTTTGAAAAAGAGAAAAATCCACAGCACAGATTAAGTTGGGCATCTTTGAGAAGAGTGGTAAAAGGTTACCTCTTCATTAGTTCAAAGAGTGCTCACTAGCTCTCTCCTTTACAGTGCCATTGTCCCGGGTTAAAAGCAACAAAAACACTTCCATCTCACCCACATCTCTGTCCTCCACAGAGCACGTGCACACATACACGCACACTTTCTTTCATAGGCCGCTGCTTGCAGCTTTGATCCGATAAGAGGC